GCGGAGCCAGTTGAGTGGTTGTTACATCGCTTGAAGTGCTTGTGCGATTTAAGTTGCCATATTGGCTTCTAGTGCTTAGGTAACGTTCTGTGTGATCATCTCCAAGAGAGTTTTTATATTAAGTTGTGGTGCTCTGGTGGTTTTGATGGGTAGATCAAGATTGGCATGATGGGGTTTAGGGGAGCGAGGACCCCTAGGGATAAATAGCTAGTAGCTCTCGGAACTCCTACTGCAAGAGCGACTGCAACACATCTTCTCTTTGAAGCTATTCTAAACAAATGAAATTTACACAAAATTAAAATCAACTAAGTAACAAACTAGAATAACAACTCTTGCCCAATCGTAAGAAGACAAGGGATATGGAATGTAAGGACATTGACAGTTGAATATATACCATTGTCTATGATACCATTCAATCACATCTCGGGTTTGGAAGAAGTTATACCCCGACAACGCATGCCATGATGAGATGAAGTTAACTTGTGTATTCTAATGATAAAAATGATATGCAAATAATTACAAAAAGAAATAATGAATGAACTATTTTATTCCACAATTAAGAGCTAAATGGATACAATAGGGAAAAAAACAAAACTGATTAAAGCAAAATTGAAAAGACCGTAAGAAATAACTATCCAAAACAAAAAAGAGAGAACATGATAACTACTGGAAAACAAAAATATCATATTGAAAATTAGAATGGGAAAGCCTGATCCAGGGTGCTGGTCTTGCAAGTGGCTGAATGAAATCCGTTATATAAAAATATCGACGGATGAGTTTGATAAATTAAATTCATTAAATAACTCTTTTCTGAAACATAAATGACAAAGAGAATAAGACATACAGTATGAACAAAAAAAATTATAAATTTGTAAAAATATGATTTAACACATCAAGACTTTAAAAGATATAATAAATGCTAGAAATACAACGCACAAGTAATTATGTAGGAGTCTGTGCAGTAATAAAATAAGACTAATTACTTATGTAAGTTATAAAGAATAATAAATAATCTATTGTAATTATATTTACATAATTTAAAAGATACAACTGACAAATCAACAATTACCTAGGAATCTAATAAAAGTTGCATGGATAACACTCCTAATTAAGATGGATATGTTTATCCTATAATAAGAACAATTACTTATCTCAAGATGAATGTCAACCTTCAAATTTATTAATGAATGACCCGACCGTAACTTGTAAGTCCCACATCAATTGAAATTTAGAATGTAAATAATTATATGATTAAAGGTATCAAACCTAATCTCTTATTAAATTAGGTGTACATAATTGACATATTATTACTATAAGATAATAATCATTATCATCATAGCAGTTACACTAATAATGATAATAATAGGTAGATAATTAATTTTAACCTCAAGTTCACTGCCTACCTAAATAATTAATCAAAATAATTATCAACTAAATTAATAATACCTAATAATTTAATAGAACTATATAAAGCGTGATTATATTAAATAATATACATATATGATTATATAACTAATACCGAAATAAGATATGTACTAAGTGTGTACATGAAATGGAATAGGGGAGAATCCCAATTGTAGTTGACAGTTGTTGGTCGTGCACAAGGCAAGAGACGACAGTGGCAGCTGAAAGCAAGAGTGGTAGGTGACTTACGGTTTAGCTTCAGGGAAGGTTTGGCTAAATGCGAGGCTCTAATCATGATTGTAAGAAGAATCGGTTGCTGTGAGGAGGAGGTTTGCGGTGCCCTAACCTTCATCTCCCTTTAATAGAGTTGAGAGGCGGTTCGACAACAAGCACAAAATAAAAAAAAAAGAAAGGAATATCACAAGAAGATCACACGAGTGCGTTAAATGAAAGGTGACAACGGGAAGGGAAAGAAAATTGCGTGATATACTCGAGCGTAAGAGAAAGCGAAGAAGAAAAGAAAAATTCAGATATGTACTTACATATTACTCGAAAGAAATTGGTTCCCAAATTCACACCTAATATTGCATCAACTCAACTTATGGGAATACTCCAAGTGTAGTAGACATGCATTTCATTAATAACAATGTCACAATTGTCGATGAGCGTAGCAGGCATATGCAGTTCATTGATAACAAGATCACAATCACGATTTTAATAACCAACTCTCTGTGGGAAGTACGCCTGATAGCAGAAAAATTTATTTGAATATCTTTTTGTAGGCCAAAATATATGTGATAGATTTTCTAATCTTTGTCTTGGCCAATATAAGAGATAAATGTGCTTTTAACAAACTACATCTCGTACTCTCAAACAACTTTTGTTTCTTGCTCCAACATCCTCAAGTCACTCATTAGCTTGGCACGGTTCGCCATATGAAAGTACTTCTCCATGAATAGTCTCTTGAAATCTACCTATTAAATTACTGGATCTGATCCGTAAGTGTTGCAGTGGCGACTCTCCCACAACTTATCATTGCCTTCACGCAACTAGAATGTCGCAATGTCCATCTTACAGTTTTTTAGGGCACATTATACCTCTAAGTCTCTTCTCATTATCGTAATGCCATGCGTCAGACTCGATCGGATCCACCATGTCATTGCAAGTAGGAGGGTGTATCTTTAAAAACAAGTCCATCACTCGACGCATGACACTCCCATTGGTCATCACCACATGTTGGCTAGCTTGAGCTTCCATGGTGGCAACAGGTGGTTCAGTTTGAGCTGGTTGCAAAGCCAATTTAGTGTGTTGTTGCATCAAATGAACTGCTTGCTTGATTTGAGCGGTTTTTCTGGCTTTTAGTGCTTGGGTAGTGTTTCGTGTCACCATCTCCATGATAGTTGTTTTATCACTGTAGTAGCCCCAATGGGTTGAGCATGATTAGTATGACAGGTGTTACGGGAGCAAGGACCCTTGGGGATATGTATCATTTTTATAGTAGTTTTTGGAACTTTGTTGCAAGAGCTGGTGCAACACCTATTCTCTTAAGAGTTCTCTAAACAATTGAAACATACACGAAATCAAAATTGACTAAAAAACTAATTAACTATAATAACACATCCTCTGCCCAATCTTGAGAAGATAAGGTATATGAAATGCAAGGACAATGGATGTTGAATACAAAACATTCTCTGATATCACTCTACCACACCCTAGGTTCAAAAGTCAGTACACACAGAAATGAAGGGCATGATTTAATGAATTTAACATGTTTTGTATCTCAAAGGAAAAGTATGCAAATAATAATGGAAAGAAATAATAAATGATAAGTTTTATTTCATAAATAAGAGTTCAACTAATATAATGGAAAGAAAAATAAAATTGACTGATGCAAAATTGGAATGGCCATAATAAAGAACTATCCAAAACTCAAAAGAGAATATACAAAAATAATGTAAAACTGAAAATATTAAATAGAAATCTAGAAATGAAAATTATGATGATGTGAGGTCGATCGTACAAGTGGCTGAATGAAACCTGTTATATAAAATTATCAACGGGTGAATTTGATACATCAAACTTGGGCGGTGTTTGCTAGGCTATTAATAGACGGATTTATCAATGGACTTAGCTTAAATCTAGTCAATAATTAAAAAAAAAAAATCTGAACCTTAAATTCAACGCTCCGTTAAATTGAATTTTCTCACATTCTGTCTGTTTTTCCTTGCGTTCCTCCATCACCTAATGTTAATCCGGATTTATTAAATTCGATTCGCAGACAGATTTGTGACCGTGGCTTCGAAGCTTTTCTACGTCAAAATGAATCTAATAAATTTGATTTACTAAGTCCTATTTAACATAAATCGGTGATGCGACCAAACATAAACTATTTTTTAGAAGCATAAATGACAAAGAAAATGAAGCATGCAGCATGAACAATAATTAGGACAATTCACCATATAGATAACAAAAAATTTCAAAGAGTATCAAATGATTATGATTATCAATATGAGTGACTTTAACACATGCATTTTTATAGATATTTATAGTTTATCACATCAGGTGTAGCACTTTCAAAGAACATCAATTTTTGTGCTTCTACTTTTATATTTTTCGGTCTCTTTTTTAGTTACTTTGTAATTCTTGACACTTTAACCACATAAAATTAGCCGTACTTTTTTCCTCGCGTATTATGCCTCGTCCTTGTAAAAACAATCCTTGGTATATTATGTCAGTATGGTTCTGGTTCGGTCTTGAGTTTGTTTTTTTTTCTCTATCCTTGGTACTCTTAAGATGTACATTTAAAGAGAACCTGAATATTATTTCTTATATCATCAAGGATATTAAGATGGTTCCTGTTGATGATCTACTGAAGAACTTCAATTAAAATTTTAAGCTATTGATAATATGGGATTTTACTTTAATTTCTACATTTAGAACTCTCTTTTTCCCTCTTATAGTCAGTCCAATGGATGAAGCTCCTACCAATGTGGACATATAGTGAGAGTTTGATATATATAGTCTTATCTCTCTACATTGGAGAAATGTTACTGTGTGATTTCTAATAAAAGGATCGGATCATTCAAATCCCTTTTCATTGCTTTTTATGGGCAGTTCACAAGCATACCACACAATTTGTATTTATTTATCTATCTAAACTTTAATATTTTCTTATTGTGCACTTCAATGTGACAATTACATGAAAATATATACATAGTAATGTGTATTTTACTTTATAAATTTCATTATTATTATTATTTCTGATGTGATGTTAAGAATGTATGTGTTGGTCAATATTAAAATCAAAGTTTAGATGATTGATAATTTGTGGTACGTATGCAAATCTCCCTCTCGTATTTTCTCTAAAAAAATGCTGGCCTGTTGTTAGTGACGTGGAGTTGTACACAAGGACTTTATTTGATCAACAAAGAACTCGGGGAACTCGGTTTTTTCCTTCGATGATTATCAATATTATTGTTCCATACTAGATTTCATTTTCCATTCTTTTGAAATTTCTATGTTTTTTTTTTTAGTTTTAATTTCTGTTTTTTTTATGATTATAAAATCATGACTTTACAAAGCTCTATATCTGGCAGGTGATTTTGAGATGGGGATTACAAAGAGGCACCAGTGTCCTCCCTTGCAGCCTAAAACCTAATAGAATTATGGAGAACATTGATATTTTTGACTGGTCGTTGTCTGACGAAGAATGGAATCAACTGAACAGAATAGAGCCGCAGGTCTGCCTGTTCGGCAATTGGCCGGTTAACACACCTGAAAGTGGGTTACTTTCTGCTGCTGGTCCTCTTCAGGCTGTGTATGAGGTTGAAGATGACACTGAAGACAGTTCTTGACTTTCTGCTTGCTTGCCATAATGTATTATCTTTGCAGATACATATACTTGAGAGATATCTGTTGAAACTAAACTATGCTATTGTGATGTACATATGTCAAATGAATGAATATGCTTGATTTCTTTGTTTTTTGGTATTGGGGCTTGTGCTGTAGATTGGCACCTTCTGGTTCATGTTCTTCCGTTGGTAAAAGTTTTTGCAGTAGATGATAGTCTCCAGGAACAACGCCGATTAAGGGCTTTAAATAAGGCCTATTTAATCGACTTTCACAACTTTTATAATATTTCTAAGCTAACAGCAAAAAAACAAAAATTACAAGTTCGCCCGAGACCACAGTTTTATTACTTGCACGTTGCATGGTTTAGTGGGTTTTTATCCCAAACCCACGCTTTCGTAAAGTCCACTCTAACATTGTAATTATTTGTGATGTACTTTAAATGCTTTATGATTATCACACTTACAAAAGATTTTTAAAATACTGTTAATATTTATTGTAGGGTTCTATTTATAAATAGAAGATGTTTAGGAATTTATTTATAATTTTTGTAAGGTTCTATATAAGCCCATGAATCAATTTATTGTGATGTGTGATAGCATTGATAGTCTACTGGGGCATGGTAGTAGTTTTAATATGGATCCATCTTCTCGCCCTTACATATCACGGTCATGACCACGATGAGTTGTTAGCATTACAAGTATAACAGAAAAGATTATGAAGATATAGGAGGAAATGACAATTTTTCAAATCAGAGTTAACATCTCTGATCAATTTGAACATCTGGACTGATATAGGAGGAAATGACGATTTTTCAAATCCGAGTTAACATCTCTGATCAATTTGAACATCTGGACTAGCAGATTAAGTTTCATGTAGATAATGTTGCAAAGCTCTAGGAGGCACAAATAAAAGTGTATAAGAAAAACAAGTGGTTTTTAGATGATTCTACAGAAGAATTTCCTTTCTATCATTTTTATAATCTGTATGTGCACTGCCAATAGATGAATGAGAATATAGGGGAGGATAGTCTTAATGATGAAAGCGAGTAGTGGCTATTATGTGTTGAACTCTAATATATAGGAGTCTTTGATTTTGTGTTGAACATCGACTTGTAGGTGCCTACACGTCTGCATGTCTGTATGCCTCTGTGTTTGTTTGTCTATTTTTTTTATATATGTGTATCAATTTATGTAGGATTTATGTTTGTTTGTTTGTTTAGAATTGTTGTATGTACTTATGTGTTTAAATTGTTTTTGTGAGTTTGATAAGTGATTGTTGGTTTGATATTTGTCATGAGGAGGTATATTTTTGGCTCTCGAGATGCTCATGAATGTATTTGTTTTTTGGAAGTAGGGAATTCACGAGTTCACTGCTTTTTAATCTCAACAAGACTTCAGGTTGGCTGGAGGCATGTCAAGTGTGGACATTAGAAAGGTCCATATAAAACATGTTACTTTCTTTGTCTGACCAGGGACTCACTTAGGAACACATATGGACTTACTTTGTGAGTAACTGAAGTTGCACAAAATTACCTTTATAATCGTAGAGTTCGCATAAATTTGGGACGGGGTAGATTTGGTGTTTGAAATACATGAGCCAATATGTCTATGGGATTAACCCTACAAAAAATTCGTAATGCTGCCACTTTACCTGTGCAATCTTCCGAGTGTTATCAAATGTTAATAAAGGAGATGCGATGAGAACTAGTATGAACATACCTCAGGTCTTATTGTGCTTTATCATTAATTATGTGTCGACGTGTTTAGGTTCATTGAATTGCTTGGATTGTTCATATTTAAGTGTCGAGTGTCCGTGTAAATGAAAGTTGGGAGAATTTTGGAAGATGATAAGTTATTAAAATGATGTTGTATCAAACCTACTAGTGTCTGGAAACCTTTGGTGTGTAGCACTTTTCACTAAAAATCAAAAATTAAGAAATTGAGCACTAGGGCCTAGACGCCAAAATCTGACGCCTAAGCGCCACAAACCCAAGAGCAGGTGTTGACCTCATTTTTGATGAGGTCTAGTTTTTCTTCTTTATTAGGAGCCTAGGATCTAGCCCTAGAACTTTCATGTTGACTATCCTAAAGGACTTGTTAAATGGAACCCTCCCACATAAAAATTTCAAACACTTCTTTACTCCTCTTGTGAAGTTCCACCTTGGTGATCACAAGCCCCTAAATGTCATTTGCTATGGTCAAGACCAACATGTGGAAACTCGAAAGTGAGTTAATATAGGCTTAATTAGGCCTAGGACAACTCTGGGTGACTTGGTCTTGGTCACAACCTTACACACACACACAAGCTCATCACAACCTCACACACACCTAAAACCCTAAAATCTCATTGCACTTGATCTATCCCCGCACACTTTTGGAAACTCATGTGGCTAGTCCCAACTTTTAGTTGTTGGATAAGGTGGCTAGGGCCAACATATGGAGGATCCAAAATGGGCTCTCCCATTGGTCTCATGGCATAAGAAGGGTGATTTCATTATTAGCATACCCAATGACCCTCAATTCCACCAAAACTCACAACTTTAGCTTTTTACTCCCAAACTTAAAAAAAACTACCAAAATGGCCAGAGAACCCAAAAATTTCCAAAATTGCCCAAATTCTCAAATTCTCACCAAAAATCATATTGAATCACTCTAAACCACTCTAAATTACCCAAAGTACCCCAATTTCCCCAAAATTCCCAAAATACCCTTAAACCACCCAACATTCCCAAAATACCCGTCATGTTCAAAAAATTTCCAAAACCTCCAGATTCACTCTAAACATACCCAAAATCAATCCCAACCACCCAATAACCCCAGTTGCACCGAAATCCACGAAAATTCACACAAATTCCCAAAATGCCCCTAAATGCCCAAAGTCCTAAATCACCCCCAATTCCTATAAAATTCATTTCAAACTCCTCCAATTTCAAATCCACACCAAATTTCATCATGTCCAAGCCCAATTAGAACCAAATCCCAGCCCAATTAGACCCAATTTCAAGCCCAAACTCCAAGCCCAAATAAAATGCCCAAATTAACCCCACTTCCAAATTCCATCAAATTGAGCAATGTAATCATTCCAATTATATAAAATTTGATTAAAAAATCTTTCATGAAATTCCCTTAGGCCAACTTGAACCATTTATTGGTCTAGATCCAAGACCAAGCCAACCACAAACCCCATTTTAAGCCCAAAACCAAGTTTTTTTTCTAACTTTTTGATTTAATTAAACTCTAATTACCCCAACTCATCCTAAGCTTATGATCTTACAAAATCAATCCGAGCATCGAACCGCTTTTGGGCCATGGACTAAGGGTCACTTGAATCATAGAAACCCCTCACATAAAAATTGTTAACTCTCTTACCCATTCCATTAACCATCAAACTCGAAGCTTTATCAAAATTAAACCTTTCCCTAACCTCTCTGAGCTAGCTAGTCACCACCCATGACTTGGCAGGCCGTCCTAGTGTTGGAAAACCCCAAACTGAGATGGCCACCCATGGCTTAAACCAAAAATTCTACCTATCCAATGTTGCAAGCTTCAATTGGTCAATTGCACTGCTCAGCCCTCCACCTCAGCTTGCTTGCACCAGCCAATGAGAGCCTGAGGCCTCCCCCTTGGCCAAAATTATAAATAGCCCCCTTCACGACCAAATTTGGAGATCATGAAAAAAATTAAGAGAAAATCTACCCAATTGCTTACACAAACATCCTAAGTGCAATTCAATCATCCTTAGACACCCATTCCCACTTTCCAAGCTCAATTTCACCACCTAAATCAAGCACCTTGTTAGACATTTCACCAAACTTCTCAAAGCTTCAAATTAACCATTCAATAAGCTTCCTCACATTTCAAAACCATCTCCTCAATCAAAATCCCCCTCTTCCGAGCACCCTAACATAGTCCTAGACTAAGCCCGAGTCACCCTTGGATCAAAATCATACTTATATTATGTCTCAACTCAAGGCAACACCTCGAGTAGCTTCGTGGACCCAAGGCAATCGTCTCCAACCAACCTAATCGATGCCTCACCTCTTAGGAAAAATAATATCTTGAAATCTATAAATCTTGCATTAGTTTCATTTATTGTGAAGCGAACTCGTATTTCATACATAACTGACTGCATAGATAGGTTGCCTCACATAGATGAAGTGTAGAAACAAACCCTAAGTGATTTGGTTGAGAATCAAGGGAGATATTAGATCTAGAACATGGACGTTTCTCAGATTAGGACGATTGAGGACAATGAACATATGCCATCCATCTCCGCATGTATCAAACGGACAGAACATATCGCGTCGGATGAGGACTTAAAATGGAAACTGCGAGACACGTGGCCAATTGATGTGTAAAGTGTTGTCAATCAAATGTTGTGCATGCACGTTTGGGGAAGCGGAGGATGACGCAACGCCGACTCAGATAAGTAGATAAATAGGATATTTTGGAATTAAATAAATACAAAAAAATTAAAAATACATATCTTAGTGTAGAAAATTCATAAAAATAAAATAAAAATACTACTGTGCTTAGTGAACAGAAGAGAAAAATGTGCACTAAAAATTAAAAATATTTTCTATTTATCTATTTTTAAATAAATTAAATACTTCAGAGAGTAAATAAATCATGAATAAATAAATAATTATTTAAATCAAATGAAATTATGAGGGTTTGTTTTGGATGACCTTAGAGATCTTATCTGATTTTTTTTAAGGTCAGAGGACATCTCTATGGTCAAATACCCTAATTTTTAAAATATTAGGTATTATTTTAATTTAAAAATTATAAAAAATAAAATAAAAGTTAGAAAAATGTAAAATCTTGTTTGGTAGGTTAATTGTGGTCAGAGGATCTTAAGAAAAATAAAAATAGTATTTATAAAATTTTCAAGCCATTTTTTCTATTTAAAATTAATAAAAATAACAAAAAATTAGAAAGATATGAAATAATTTAAATAATTACAAAAGTTGGCCTAGTTGTAATTAATTATCCTATGAGGCTTCTGTAAAATTTGGAAGCCTAAAAAATAATTTTTTATGAAAATATGTATTTTTTAAGTAAATATTAATTTTGGTTTAAAATAATTATAATAAATAAAAATAAAATCAGAAAAATATGGAAACTAATTTGGAGTGT